GTTCACCACTTGTTTGGCTATCCTCCAATCTTCCCTGTTGGCTCTATTATGAGCTTCCAGTTCCTTTAGATTCCGGTTAGCCGGTGTGTGTGTGTGTGTGTGTGTGTGTGTGTGTGTGTGTGTGTGTGTGTGTGTGTGCTATGGTTTGTGCACCAGAGAAGTGAACCCTGAAGAGTTCCCTTACTGTTTCCTTCCCTGTGATTGTGTACTCCCCCAGTTCATTCTTAAGGGGAGAATTTTTTGGAGCCTGGCACATTCTTGAGTGCTTGCTATCTCCTCACAGTGCCTTCTCCAAGACTCTCTCTTGACTTTTCGTAAGGTTATGTTGTAAGAGGTGCATATGGTTTTATATAGTTTCCATTCGGCGGTTATTTTAGCCTTATTAAATTTTTGTCTCATCTGTTTCCTTAGTATAGCAAGGTCATCATTCCACCATGGAACTTTCCTGATAGAGTTCCTTGCTATTAAGGGACAGGTATCGTTGAAAGCGCTAGTGACTGTGTCATTAAACTCATCCACAGCCATTTCTAGGTCGGTTGTTGTTCTTATCGTCTTTCTCATCTTCGGAAGATTACATTCCAGGGAAGCATTGTATGCCTCCCAGTCTGTTTTCCTGGAATTCCGATAAGTTTCTTTTGCAATATTACCTTTAATATTGAAGTTTATGTGTCTGTGATCTGATAAACTCTCTTTATCAGACACATGCCAGTCTGTAACAAAATTACTCAAGTATGTTGATGCTATTGTTACATCTAGTACCTCCTTTCTGTTTTTTGTTATAAAGGTCAGTTTATTGCCTACATTTGTTATGTCTAAATTATTTGCCATAATAAATTGTAGTAAAGACTCACCTCTTTCGTTGGTATGGGTGCTCCCCAGATACTGTGGTGTGCGTTTGCATCACAGCCAATGATCATCTGTATTCCGTTGCGCCTGTAGAATCTCACCAGCTCCTCCACTTCTCTGGTAGGTGTTGCTTCAGGATCGTCTGAAGGTAGATATGCTGATCCGAGTATTACCTCCTTTGGTCCATTTCCTGCATCGATCTTGATTCTGACTGCTGTCAAATCTCTGGAACAGAAATTAGTTAACGGCAGTATTTTTATGCACATACTTTGACTTTCTTTTACTATACGGAGAACGGTCGCACTGCGCAGCTTTCTGAGTGCCTTTTAAAAGGAGATAGAAAACTCCGCCATTTTGAACCTTTGGCGCAATATTTTTAATAGGTGCGTTTTAATCATCCGCTTCTGCTTCGGAATTGTCGGTTTTCTTGTTTTAATCTGACAGGTTAAAACGACTAAACCGACAATTCCGGAAGCAGAAGCGGATGATTAAAACGCACCTGATATTTTGCTTGCTGCTGTCAGTGTCAGTGAATATTATTTTTGAAGTCACAGTATATTGCTAAAGAATCAGTTAGCTCACTCGGACCAGTTGAAAGTTCCAAAATAACATCCACTCCAGGGATACAAATTCAAGGATACGCAGAAGACTGCTGTTTTATTATAGGCGGTTGTCATATATTGTATTATCCGAGTTGCACAGTGTATAAACTGAAACATTGAGATCAAAAGTGCCGACGCAGAGTGAGCGATCTGAATCTTTAGCTGTGTCACAGGGTTCAAAATGGCCGCGCCCTATGTTGGGCGTGTCGGACCTCTCTCTTGCCTCGTATAGTAATCAAAGTATGTGATTTTTATGCCTTTTTTGACAATTATGCAGGTTCGAGGGGTGTCTGTGGATCTGTCATATATTAACTCTCCACCCAACCCTCCTAAACCTCTTATTGTACCGTGTCTAATCCACGGTTCTTGTACCAGGGCTACTTCAAACCTCCCCATCGCCACTGTAAGTACAGCCGAAGCAGCCTTACAGTGCTGTAGGTTGATATGGATTATCCTGATCCTCGCCAGGCCGCCTTAGGACCCTGAAGGTCACCCTTCCTAGCTTATAATAGGCCCGGAATTGTGACCTCTCGAGGGCCCCGTACGACGTTTCGTCAATTGAATAGGCTAGGAGTTGCCCTCCCCTTTTCAATTTTTCTGCTTATTAAAAGCCAGTCCGGCGTCTTCAGTTCCGTATTCTGGAGCTAAAGAAGTTCCCTGACTTTTTCAACTTCGGACTTGTCCGGGATGAAAACCAGAACCCTGGGTCTTCTCGGGAGGTCCTATGTTGATGTAATTATTAATGTTTAGTGTAGTTCTCAGCATCGAATAAATGGCCCATAGAGAAGATGGCTTCATAGTTTTTGATATTTCTTCAAAATACGCAAGTAAAACATTCTCCAAAAAAGATTTAACGTTATGCTCGTGTCGCCAATCCATAAATTTTCGATAGGTAATTTCGTATCTTTCTTTGGATTTTAGCGGTAGGTAATAAATTATGTGTGGCAGCTTGAGCTTTTTCTAAAATCTCCGGTGGAATGCTCATAATTCATCACTTTCACTATTAACAGACACATTTGTAGGCAAAGTTGAGAAAATGTTCGGATACAATAACACTTTGTTACAAAAATTGACAATATGAATGACATGACGTTTATTTTTTTATAGCATGCTAAGAAAACGGGATTACTTTTGAAAACTTGTATAATGTGTTGCCGACATTTAGGGGCATCACTCTTTTAATCCAAAATATATCTCGCTAATGCCAAAAGTTTTTATGTTTCTTAAATGACTAAATTTATGTAAATAGACCACATAAAGTCTTACGTAGACAAAAATTTGATTCTAATTTGAATAAACCAAGAAATTTAAGTTTTCTTATCAAAACGTACGTGTATGTTATGAGATCTCATTACGTGCATGTTATTGTTAAATGTAATTTACAAGGAATATTGATAGTGCGATTTTTAACGTTTACTGACATGGGCGTAGAAAAAAGTACTATAAAAACGTAATTCGCAATATCATGTTTTTTGAAAATATTTACACTAAATAACAGTAAACAAATAAATGTTACGAATTTAGAAATGGGATTTAAAAAAGGGTCTCATACCAATTGTGCAATGTGTATGAGAGGGATAATAATTAAAAAAATTATTACACAAATAAAACTAATAATATTCCCTCAATTTCCTACCTGTTAGAAAAAAAAGTAGAAATTACAGATTAAACACTTTTTATTCAATTTATAACATTAAAATAGTAGTTTGTGTAACAATTGTGGATATGATGGCCATACAGATAAATTTACCAGAGTTGTACAGTATATTTTTTCTACGACCACTATCAATAATCTATCAAATTTAACAAATTAATTTAGAGGATAAGATAAGTATTTTATAGATAATTAACAAAAAAAAATGAAATAAATATGAAATAATCATGAAAAAGAAAACTGGCCTAAAATTGAAACACTGGATATCCTTCTGAAAAGGTTTTATTAATATTTATTTAACCTAAACCATGACATATTTTTCTATTCTGATATCAAAGTGCCAAACGTAGAATATATTTTTCCGTGTACACATTTTAAAGTCGATTGATCAAATATAATCAGAAAGAATCGATTAATTGAAAAGAATTTATTAATCGAAAATAATCGATGTTTCGAATATAATTGATTATTCGAAAATAATTGATTATTCGAATATAATCGACAAATCGAAAATAATCAATAAATCTAAAATAGTCGATTATTCAAAAATTATCGATCAATCGGAAAGAATCGATTAATCTAAAGAATTGATTACTTAATCGAAAATAATCGAGTAATCGAAAATAATCATTTAGTTGAAAAAATCGCTTAATTGGAAATATAACATAATAAAATATAATGAAAAGAATCGATTATTCGAATATAATAAAGAAGATTCAATTAATCGAAAATAATCGATCAGTCGAATATAATCGATTAATCGGAAAGAATCGATTTATAGAAAAGAATCAAATAGTCGAAAAAAATCGATTAATTAAAAAGAATCAATTAATCGAAAAGAATCAACCTAAAAGAATCTATGAATCAAAAATAATCGATTAATCGCAAAGAATCGATTATTTTTAAGGTATTGATTAATAAAAAATAACCGATTATTTTAAATAATCGATTTTTAGATAATTATTCAGCCCTAACGTATTTAACTATCATTTTTAGCATAACAATTATTTATTTTAGTAATTCGAATTTTTTATTAACCTATAAAAATCTACCAAAATCTACCAAAAAAATTGTCTGCTAAAACTAGCAAAAAAGCTGAAAATTTACCAAATCTACTAAATGTGGCAACGTTGGATTAAAGACCTGCAGTCAGAGTGACCTTGACCAAGCACAGCAACTAGCTTTGGACTAACGAAGTTAACTGTCGTAACGTAATAGACATACAATGCACAAAATGGTGCTAATAGCGTGCTTTCAAGCAGGCACACTGTTTCATAAATCTGTTGCCCTACCTTTTTAACTGCAGGCATTCGCGGAGATCTCTCGCGTTCAATCAACATATTGTACCGACAGACGCGATCAGCCAGAGCGCAGTGCGGTGCCAAAAAAAGTAGAGATCAACACATACGAGAATAATAAATATTTTAAAATTTAATTTAATTTTTAAGTTAAGTATTTATGTGATTTTAAAATAATATGTTTTTATGAAATTTAACTGGGTGCTTCACTGCTCAAATGAACCAATAGAGAAACCGCCCCTGGAATTAAATGTAGACGAAATGGGATTTCGTAATTTATCGAAATAGAGTGTGTTAACTAATAATGAACATTAACTAACATATGCATATTTTTACCGTATGGAAAGATATTTAGAAAATTCCTTATTTGTTAAATTCACTTTATCACCCTGTAGAATGAAAGGGACGTTTACAAGAAAATTGTATTTACCTGTTCTTACTAATTAGTTAAGATCTACAAATTCTCCAGTTTACGGTACTTTAGTATTTATCTCGCCAAAAAAATCTTTGCAGCGCCCCCACTAGAACGAATCCTAAATCCGCAACTTTCATACAAATACAATAATTTAAAGTTAATAATTTTATTATTTTTATTTTCAGCCTGACTATTACAGAGATGCAGCTCATTTCCACAGAGTGGAAGAAGGACCCGAATATCGTCTCGAAATTCCGAACGCCAAAATAGACTATACTGGTACTTACACCGTTTACGCCAAAAACTGTCATGGTGATGCCAAAGCCATCATATCTTTACAAATAAAAGTTAAAGGTTAGTAAAATAAATAATGGATATTGTATAGCATATTTTTTTTGTATTGACGAACGTGTAAATGCTTAAACATAGAAACGTCAACGTCTAATGTCAACTCTGAGGAAAAATAGAGCGGAGCGATAGGTACAGCTGTTGAATATCAGTGATTAAATCACAATTCGTGAAATAGCACCCAACTCTATTAGAAATTAATTAACTTACAGATATAAAAAAATAAGTTAAGAAATCGTTTATAAATAAGGCTATTAGTATTTCAAGAAAGAAATTAACTTAAATTAGAGGTACCTACCTAAAATTTTCACGAAATTTTCATCTTTTAAGTGATATAAAATTAAATGGAAATGCTTTCAACCAATCTAAGAGGATCCAGTAAACGTTCGGATCAAGTAGATTTATATTTTTAAATTTCCTTTGCTGGATAGTTTTACTGTAAATAATTTCATAGGAAACAGCTTGACACGATATACTTACTTTATTATATTTATTTTGACCAAAGGCCGGACAGGTTAAAACAGGGAAGGGGGGAGTATGGTAAGGTAACAGAAACATAAACAGCAAAAATCCCAATTTTGTGATATACCTCATTACACTTATAAGTATTTTTCATCAAAGTGGGATTTTTTTTAGGAGTTTCGTTTTATTATTTATCTTATCTGAGAACTCTCCATAACTGCTTGCGATAGTAAACGGACAATATTAATGAAATTTTTTGTATTGTTTATTGTTTGTTTAAATTTTGCTGGACAATAACGGCGTTTTGCTGTACGTTTGCTATCCAAGATCAAATTCTGGACAGACTTTGAAAATGTTGTACATATGGTCACATACAAATTATATTACTCAACGGAGAATTAACTCTTCAAAATGAATATGGCCCTCAATTCATTTAAAAGTAAAGGGGTTGAAAAGGGAGGTATATAATTATTTTAAAATAGTGTCATTTTAGAATTAAAAATATTTATTCCAAAAAAAAAAAAGAACATTTGTTTATTTATTTTCTAGATCCGAAACCATTGAAAGACGAAATGGGAAAGAAGAAAATTGCGTAAGTATTTATTTTTAAATAAACATTAATTTTTGTTACTATTTCGGATGTTAAATAAAAGAAACTGACAAGCTGTATAAGTTAAAAATACTTTTCAATATAAATCATTTTAGCATTATTTAATATGACACTTTAAGGTTAGTAGAATATTTATAATTATTTTTCCAGAGAGGTTCAAACTCTTCCAGAGATTGTTAAGGAACTGAGCGACATTCGTTGCTGTGATGGGGATTCGGCAACATTAGAATGCAAAGTATTTGCTACACCTGCACCAGACATTCGCTGGGAAAGAAATGGCAAGGTAAGCTTATCAATATTTCTATTATTTCCTTATCTCGGTTAGTTTTTCCTCAAAACTACGTATGTATCTTTCTTTTTAGTTTGTTTTACTATAAATGACGAATATAACGGTAGGATTTCCAGTTCATCGATTAATTGGCGTCATTTTAAATCTCACGACTGTTATTCAAAAGTGAGAAGCGGAATAAATATGTCAGTATATAAAAATTAAAATTTTGTTAAAAACTCGACCGAGTGCTTTCGACTTACAAAGCCATCATCAAAGCCATCATCCATGCCATCCTAAAAGGTGTTTTGTGATAATAATCAATTAAAAGAGAATAGAATTACAACACTCACGTCTGCTAGATACCATCACAGGGCCATGCTTGGATACTAGGGTTATGTTCCATATATAGATCACAGCAGGGCTATGCTTGGATAGAGAGAGAGAGAATGTTTATTTTCCAAGTTATAATACTTATTGACAAACACAATATTGTTATACGAAGCACAAATAAATAAATAGTCATTAAAATATGAACAAACATTATTATAAATTAACATTAATACATACATCTAAAATAAAATAGAACAAAACGAAATACAACACATATCACAGTGTCTCGTCATTATAAAATTCTGTAATATCATAATAAAGCCTAGTTAACAGAAATCTCTTAAGCAGCTTACTAAAACAATTCTGTGACTCAACATATGTCAAAGTATGTGATAGCCTGTTATTAGAAATGTTTGAGCTATGATATCATAATTGTAATGTAGTACATGATTTATTTGACCTCCAAAAACTCCTTGTATAATATTGTCTGTACTCTTCCTAACAAAATTTAATTCATTCGCATATTTAGCTAATATGTACGAACTTTGCGAACCGGAATCTAATAGAGCTCGAATAATTTTAACTTTGTTGTTTTCTTTATTTAATATTTTAACCAAAATTGTTTGAAGTAAAGTTTCGGACGTGTAATCGATCATTAAAGAATTGTCTACTTGATGCTCACTATTTCCTGTTATAGATTTTCCCTCTTTTTGCTTAGCTAATTCGGGACATAATATAGGGTAATGTTTTTTAGTGCATATTATACATCTGACAAAATTCTTACAATTTCGTGAAGTATGATTTTGTTTTAGACATGAAAAACATCCTCTTTTCTTTATTACTTTGTTTTTCCTATCATCCATAGACATTTTCTGGGCCTTAAAACAGTCTTGACTTAAGTGCGATATTTCCCTTTGACGATTGTGAGTAAAGAGTAGCTGCCGTAAACAACTGTTGTTCTTCTTGTTTGGATGTACCTCTGTTGCTGTGACTTACGGTTGTTACTTGAATGTCGTCTGGTACTTTAGTGTCATCTGCTGCATCATCAACGGAGGCAAAACACTTCTGAGCTAACGTAATTCTTTGCTCGGCCTCTACTTCTCGACGTAAAAAATCTAATAATAATGTCCAAAAATTAGAATTATTAGAATTATTTTCCGTAATATCACCAAGATAAGTACTTCGCTGTCGCTCCCAAGTTTTTAGAATATCTGCTGGTAGAGACGACTCTATTAAAGGGTAAAGCATGGCTGCATATTTGTCGCTGGTGACTCCTAATGATTCTAATGAAGTTAACTGTGTTACAAGCTTATCATATAAATTAGCTAAACTCATAGCACACCTACCTTTAGTAACTTGTTAAAGTACGAGAGTTAATAATTCTCTTACATAGACCTCGATCAAAAACTCATCCCTAGCGCAACTTGTTTAGTGCCTTTTCATAATTAGCCTTTGATGGAGGAAAACTTTCTACACTTTTTCTTGCAATAGATCCTGGTTCCATGGCTTGAATCAAATATTGAAACTTATCTTCATCATCTATATGATCGTCTTCATGTATCTTCTTATATTGTGCCCAAAAACCTATCCAGTTTCTTACATCCCCGTTAAATGTCTTCAACTCTAACATGGGTAATTTAAATCTTCTCCTTTCTACTTTCAAGCTTTCATTCTTGCAGCTGCCTTCCGATTCTTCTTTAAGGATAAACTCGCATCTGGCAGTATAGTTTATCATCTCTTCTTTGTAATGTTCTACTTCATCCATTTCCTCTTCGATTTCTTGTGGAGTAACGTCTGAACTAAATAATCCCTCTCTAATATGTTCGTCCAAAGCAAATATTCTTTCTGACTTGCTCTCCAATTGCCTCATGTAGATCATCACTTGCCCCCTATCTGGATTTGAATGGGCTAGTGCAACGTCGACATCTTGGCAAGTCTTCTTAAAATATTTTCGTAACTGATTTCTTTCAATCTTAAGATTTTCCATTTTTTAACGCTGTCACGGTCGCCAAATATTAGAAATGTGCAAGTAAAAGAATAGAATAATCGTGAATACTTTTCTCTTTGACAGATATATTTTTATTAATGACAAAATTACTGACAACTCTCAAACTAATTCTAACAATAAGTTTATAGGTAAGTATCAACTCTAACACCTGTTGTACATCTTGTTACCATTATATATTATAAAAGAGTTCAGTTTTGGGAATAGGCAACTTCAAGTTATCCGTTTGGCGAGTTACATGGGATATATTCGATTTAAATTTCGACTTGTTCTTATGGATCATGCAAGAAGTTTCTAAGATAAATAATGAAGTTAATGTTAATATTTCTTGTTTTAAGAACAGCGGTCTACATGAAACTAATCTGTGTGTTCCACATAAGAACCTTATTGCCAGTTTCTAAATTATAAAAATAATTCGGCAGAACAGACTCCCCAAAACTGAACACCATAACGTAAATGGGAGTCAACAAACTCCTAATTCATGAGAGGTAGTTCTAATGGCATAACAACCCGATACCAGTTTTTTAAAAGTGGATCCACATGAGATTTATTTCAAATCCGTGTCGATATTTAAACCCAAAAATTTTGTAGAGTCTGTGGCTTCTACAGTATCCATATCTATTAAAATATCAGTAATATTACATTTAAATGTTAGTAGTTTTGTTTTTTTTTTTTTTAATGTAAAGACAGAAAATTTGCAGTGCACCGTGTTTTAAAGGATTTGAGGTCATTACTAATATTTGCATAAAGAATATTGACGTCTTTATTATGCCACAAGATAGTAGTATCGTCATCAAATAGAGTAAAACTTACCTAAATCATTTATATAAATTTAAAACAGGGTGGGCCCAAGAACAGAACCTTGAAGGACACCCCATTTTATGTCACTTGTTTTCAAGTCTGAAACAGTTCGGACTAACTGTTTGCGATCTAAAAGGTAGCATTTCATCCATCTCAAGGCCACATTTCTTATGCCATAAACTTCAAGCTTTCGCAGCAGTACTCCGTGATTGACACAGTCAAAAAATTTAGTCTGTTCACAAAATACTGCAGCTACTTAGGTCCAGTATATTATTTTGGTCTAGATATCTAACTAGTCGAGTTTTTACAAGTTTCTCAATAATTTTACTCAGTGTCGGAATTAGAGATATGGGGCCTAAAATTAGACGGCTCAGTCAGGTCTCCTCACTTATACATATAATGAAACTACAACACTCGTTTTAAGAAAAGCAGGAAATGTACCTTCATTAAAACTTTTATTTATTAAAATGGATAAAACGAAGTAAGTTTTGAAATATGTTTACTGACATTCCATCATATCCTGATGCAGTTTTGTTGTTTATGTCATTACAAACTTTTAAAATTTCTAAGGAATTTGTTTCTCTTAAGAAAAATGAGTATTGAATTGGTGACGATTTTACAAATTCTAATGGGTCAATTGTTCTATTTAGATTTTTTGTTAGACTTTCAGCGATATTGCAATAAAATTGTATTGAAATCGTTAGGATTTATATTTTCATTGCATGATTTATGGGTACTTTTTGCCTCTCAATTCATTAAATAGACCAAGTTTCCCTTGCCTTATTTTTTGAGCTCTCAATTCTTGTATGAAAATACATATATTTAGCTTTTCTAATAAGTGTTCTATATAAAGTTCTGTAGTGATAGTAGTTAAAAATAATTCTGTTCACGTAATTTTTTTTCATATAATTGAGAGATCTCATATTTTTTATGAACATCTTAAACCAGCTGTAATCCACGGCTTTTTTAGCTTAATTTTTTTTTTTTGAATAGGGAAGGCGCATTAAAAAATTTGCTTAAATTTAAATAAAAATCTTATAAAAGGAGATATATCAGTAAAGCAACTGTACCAATTAAATTTTTTAACATACTGAATGAAATTTTCCATAATTAGATTTACTAAACAATTGACCATGATGAGAATTAGTCTTAGGAAGCTTGTGCTCAAAGAGATATCGAAGTTAAAACGGCTTCATGATCGAACAGGCCGCTGGGATTCACTGTACACGATATATTAGGAGGTTCGTAAGAAGTTAAAGAAATAGTCAAGTAACGTTTCGGAACATTCTGTTATCCTTGTTGGTTCCTTAACATGCATACTTAAATTAAAGGAAAATAATAAATTTTTTAATCTAATAGTACCATTATCATCATCCTTGAGTCACCTTTAAGTCACCTGTCAAAACTATTTTAGATGATATAGAAAATCTACTCAGCAAAGATTCCAAATTGTTTAAAAAAAAACTGAAAAATTTGAATTTGTTGATCTATAGATACCAGGGTTAGGTTCCATATGTAGAAAGAAAGAAAGAAAGAAAGAAAGAAGAAAGAAAGAAGAAGAAAGAAAGAAAGAAAGAAAGAAAGAAAGAAAGAAAGAAAGAAAGAAAGAAAGAAAGAAAGAGAAAGAAAGAAAGAAAAGAAAGAAAGAAAGAAGAAAGAAAGAAAGAAAGAAAGAAAGAAAGAAAGAAAGGAAAAAGAAAAGAAAGAAAGAAAGAAAGAGAAGAAAGAAGAAGAGAAAGAAAGAAAGAAAGAAAGAAAGAAAGAAAGAAAGAAAGAAAGAAAGAAGAAAGAAAGAAGAAGAAAGAAAGAAAGAAGAAGAAAGAAAGAAGAAAGGAAAGAAAGAAAGAAAGAAAGAAAGAATGAGAAAGAAAGAAAGAAAGAAGAAGAAAGAAAGAAGAAGAAAGAAAGAAAGAAAGAAAGAAAGAGAAAGAAAGAAAGAAAGAAAGAAAGAAAGAAAGAAAGAAAGAAAGAAAAGAAAGAAAGAAGAAAAGAAAAGAAAGAAAGAAAGAAAAGAAAGAAAGAAAGAAAGAAAGAAAGAAAGAAAGAAGAAAAGAAAGAAAGAAAGAAAGAAAGAAAGAAGAAAGAAAGAAAGGAAAAGAAAGAAAGAAAGAAAGAAGAGAAAGAAAGAAGAAAAGAAAGAAAGAAGAGAAGAAAGAAAGAAAGGAAAGAAAGAAAGAAAGAAAGAAAGAAAGAAAGAAAGAAAGAAAGAAAGAAAGAAAGAAAGAAAGAAAGAAAGAAAAGAAAGAAAGAAAGAAAGAAAGAAGAAAGAAAAGAAAGAAAGAAAGAAAGAAAGAAAGAAAGAAAGAAAGAAAAGAAAGAAAGAAAGAAAGAAAGAAAGAAAGAAAGAAAGAAAAGAAAGAAAGAAAGAAAGAAAGAAAGAAAGAAAGAAAGAAAGAAAGAAAGAAAGAAAGAAAAAAAGAAAGAAAGAAAGAAAAAAAGAAAGAAAAAAAGAAAGAAAGAAAGAAAGAAAGAAAAAAAGACTAGCCGTAGTATTTTGTAAAAATGAAAGGTTACAGTAAAGACAGATTTATACTAGGCAGCAACAAAGTTAAGCAAAGACACGCATATTCGCCTTTTACGATACCTCTTTATGATAGATGGCCTATTTGAATATTAAAAAGCGTGGCATTTGAATAAAAAGACTGGCATTTTTGTCAAAAGCGGGACATTTTCGTACTCTGGCGTTGAGCGTACAAGCAAGCCAAAAAGAGTGAAAAATACGCCTAAAGCGTGTCGTCTGCCACCCTATTCATAAATGAGTGATGGAAAAACTTTTTCTGTTTTAAAATAAAACATCCTGTATAACAAATTTAATTGTTTTCACATCGTCAAACAATTTTAATTGACTTTCTAAAAAATTTTTGACTTTCCATTTATTTGCTACGTTGTATATAGGGTGTGTCAAAACGCAAGATTACGATTTTCCTTATTTTTTTTCAAATGGAATACCCTGTATGTTACACCACAAATTTAATTAACTAATAATTTAGCTTCTTTACTTTTTATTTTATTTGGCCCAAACTGATTTTTAAATTTTATTTACGTATTACTTGTAACGTGGAAGGAATTGAAAGCCATTCATTAATTCTGACAAATGGGTTACCAGAAATTACATTAGCATTTTACCTTAAATACGTCCATATTTTCAAAAGCCCATTAGAAAAATGTGAAAAAATTATGTCAATTTTCATGGTAAAACATCAAAATCTTAAGAAAAAATTCGTTTAGGAATAGAATGCCAAACAAAATAAAAAAGTAGAGATTAATTTATAAATTGGTGGTATAACACACATATTTGAAAAATGAGAATGTAACCTCAAGTTTAGACAGACCCAGTATGCATCACAATAAATAAATGACAATGTGAAACATTTTTAGGAACGTTTAGTCTATTAAAATTATAAAATGATGTGAAAACAACCAAATCTGTAAGGCGTAACTACCTGGTGTTTGGTTTACAAAAACTATCTGTTTGGTTTTACCCTCATTTATAGACTACCATGTATATTTTAGAATAATTGTAAAATATGGTCTTACAACTTTTATATTAAACATTTCTTCATATCTCTAATAATAAAATATCTATCGATCAATTACCCACTGATGGGGCACCCTGTAAATGTGTAATTAAAACACTGTATATAATGAACCAGAACTTTCATCACAGCTTGAAAAATATTCTAGTGATAAATACAGTATTACCATGCTACTCTAAAACTAAAATAAAATACAGGGTGTTCCATTTAAAAATATGTTTTTACTTTCCAAGCAAAAGCGTAACACCCTATATATCCAAACATGTTTTTAAATTACTTTTTTTTTAAATCTACACAACTTTTATTCAAAACATGTGTCTATAACACATTGAAATATCAAGCAATTATGCACTAATGGAACAGCCTTTATAGAATTAGGACGAAGAGTTTACGTCTTTTTTCATCCTTTTAGACTTCCTTTTAAATTACTTTTGATTGTTTTTGAATGGTCCCTACAAGATTTTGACATGGTGGCTGCAGCTTTATTGGCTAATTTTACCACCATTTGGATATCCTACTTCAGTGGTTCTCAAACTTTTTTGATGACGGAACCTTTTTGAAAAGCGAAATAGTTGACGGAGCCCTAAACACATTTCTAATAAAAAGTCCTCTGGAGACGAAATCCTCCATCATCTAGCCACTTGCCAGGTCCCTCCCGTTTCTCGCGGAGCCCCCACAAAAAAATCCTCAAAATCATATCATCTTTCCTCTGGCCTCAAAAAAAAAGGTTCTCAAGCCAAGACCCGTTGTAGCCATAGTACTGCTTTTTTTGTTATGCTATTATTTTCTTCGCGAAGCCCCCACGAAGGCTTTGCGAAGCCCCAGGGCTCCGCGGACCACACTTTGAGTAACGCTGCCCTACTGCTTTCAATTTATTAATTTCTCATTTATTCCACTCCTTAGATAGGCTCCCGAGAACTCATAGTCTCGGGTCGCCCCATTCATGAAGTGCTTAACTATCTTTTTTTTGTTTAATAGTGATTTTTTACATTTTATTTTCCTAATACCCTATATTTCGCCACCGTCAGCCAGCGGCCCGGTAATATACTTCTTTGACATCAGTTCCTGACATCCTATAGAGGTCTATATTCTTTTCTCTTTTGTGTTAACTTCTGTCCCCAGAATAAATTTTTAGATTTTCATTATGTATGGCCCATGACGTTAATGAACGTCCAAATTTCTAGATGTTCGTATACCGATGGGCCAGAGCGTGTAGTTGGCATTAAAGCCAAAGTGTTAACTGGTACCAGTAACCAATCATAATTTCAATGCGCCTTAAGTTCGTAAAATCAATAGGAAAGGTTATATTTGTAAAAAACAGTTTTCATATATTATTTCTCATGGACTTATACTCTAGTTAGATGTTAAGGAAAGCAAAATGTCTATGTCCTTTAATATGAATAAATCCGTTTGTGTTTCGTTTCCAGTTGGTCCATTTAGGAGAGGATTTCAATGCACATTTCGATGGAGAGACGGCCAGATTGTCGATAAATCAAGTGTACCCTGAAGACGAAGGAGAGTACACTTGCGTGGCTCACAACACTCTAGGAACAGCTTCCACATCCGCATGCCTCGTTGTTGATCGTAAGTAACTTTTTATTCTCTCTGCTTCTGACCTATTTATGATACAAAGAATATTTCAACAATTTCGACGTTATATCTACCCCTTTTAATGCTAATGGATTTGTCTCAACTTTATAGTGATTAAAAGCAAGGGGTTTAATTTTCTCATGACCTATTGTTTATTTTATTTTAATTTGTAGAGTTTTAAAAGACCTTTCAAATGACGTATCTGATAATAAAATCAATGATGTGGTTATCACGCTCACAAGGATACCGTCACGAATAAAAGGAATATCTGAGAGAACGCGCGTTTGAAAATATAAATCGATAGTTTTCAGGATTGTTTACGAACTAATTAATGTATTCCTTGCATTTGCACTATACATATTGTCAATGTGTCAAACTGTCAAAAATTTTAATCTGACAAACCCTCAGATAAATAAATAATAGATATAGATATCTAAGTGTCAAAAATTTACATTGTGTTTGTTTGAAAGCAACATAGACAAGCCAGTTGATAGGAGGGGAAGAGCGGGGGTTTGTTTGCTTTTATTATCTAGTAGCGTATCAAATAAATGTCAATAGAAATGCTATTGATTTAAATTATGTTATTTGTTTTGAGATATTTCAGTAGACCAATGTTTCTAATATGGGATGTTAATAGAAAACCGTCAAAAATGAATTTTTTAGTCGACAAATAGGTATATATTTTTTAAATTAAGAACATATATTATATTTATTTCATGTGCCCAAATAATTTGAATAAGCGTTGTAATGATAATTTAATAAATTTTATTTCTGAAATTTTATACTAATATTTGACATTGATTCTTTTGTGAATTATTTTTTTAATTTATTATATATGTAATAATATGTAATAAAATAGAATAAAGTATCTGTTTGATTACTACCTAAATGTTAGTCCCTTTTAAGTTAATTAAATTTTATGCACAAAATATATATGATTTTTAATAATTGAGAAGGTAGGGTTAAAAACAACTTTTATAATAGCTAGGTATGTAATTAATTTTACAAACTTGTTGGGTTAGATAAACAAAGGTATCACGTTATAATAAGTTTGAAATAAAGCGATACTTATATAATATTATGTGATAAGTTCATAATTACCAAAGGCGAGTTTTAAAATATTGCCAAGGTTTCCTTATGCAGTATTTTTAATGATAAACACATTTTCCTCTTTTTTTTAAACAACTTAAGAGCAAACCGGACCTCTCGCAAAAGCAAATAATGAGAGGTTTAAAATTGGCAGGACTCGACAGAGTCGTTTAAGAAAAAAAAGGTGGGAAATTATCCTATTTAAAAATTACTAGATATTTATTAAAACAAAAAGCAGGAAATTCTAATTGATTGATACAGAATAACGCGTACATTTTATTTTTGAAATTCCTATTAAAAATTTTCAAACTAATTACTTTTCGAAGGTTTACAAAAAATTCAAGGTTTTTTCAGCCCTAAGTTTTGTTATTATTGGTATTTCTTGAAAATTTCACAAAAATGGGACTAAAAATAAAAGCTCAGAATGAATTATACATTTTCGAGGTGTTTGGTTTGTTCTTAATGTAGATTAATTATTGTCAGTTAGAAAATAGAACGTTAAGATCTTTGCATCTATACAATAATTTTGTAGAAACGTTTGTGCAATATATGCACAAGTCATCGATGAGAAATAGTTTAATTGTATTTTTACAATATCCAACAGTATAGACCCAATTTACAGGACAAAAGAAATAGTCCAAAAACAGAGCCTTGATGTACTCCTGATGTTTGATAAAAGGTAGCCGCCGATTTATATCCAAAAGACACGGTACAAATTGTGGTAAATTCAAAAGATGTGAACTAACCAGATTTATTAACTTTGATTTAAATCCCAATCCTTTTTTATATGAATCCAGCCTGGCAGTAGGTTATGATTAATTTTGACGAAATCTTTAGATAAGTTAGTATAGACGTCTACCTGACCTCTTCTATCCAATATTTCTGCAATAAATTGAGTCTCTGAATAAATTAACAAGAGATGATCTGTTAATATATGTATGTTTAAATGTACCGATGCTTTGGTCGAAGTATCCATTAACAATGTTGTCACCCTTAAGATGGATAAAAGATCACGCCACATCGAAAGGTAACCGTCTTGCTGATTAACTAGCCAAGAAAGCAGCCAACCAAATACTTTTTTGGACCTAACCCTTCTATTGGCCTGACAAAATCGGTAGTGACAGTCCTAATTAAAGAACATTTCCTTGTGAAATTCAAAGGAAAAATGGGATAAAACAAGAAACTGCAGAGTTGCCAGGGAGCTCTTAAGTTATCCTGACAACACTGCACAAACAAATACTTGAATATGACTAGACGAAATCTGCGTCTAGTCACAGGCATTCTGACTGATTATTGCCAAGTACGAAAGCATCTTCATATTATGAGGCTGTCAGAATCCGCACTCTGCAGAGGGTGCGAACAAGAAGATGAGACCATCGAGCATATCTTGCTTGACGATCTCATTTATTAAAAGATTTGTGTTCGGCGAGTATCGGCTAACACCGGCCGCTATAAGAGAAGCACCTCTTGGCGACGTTGTCAACTACATTAAATCTGTAGGCTGGCTAACGAGCTAGGAGGTGCCTATCATCTCAGGAGGGTGCACAATGGGCCCAATAAGGCCTAAATAAGGCCTAAGTGCCGTGAGGCTAACCCACCCCCCAGTCGTTTTAACCTGTCAGATTAAAACAAGAAAACCGACAATTCCGAAGCAGAAGCGGATGATTAAAACGTACCTATAAAAAATATTGCGCCAAGATGTAGGCAACACGTAATAAGGGATCAAAATGGCGGAGTTTTCTATCTCCTTTTAAAAGGCACTCAGAAAGCTGCGCAGTGCGACCATTCTCCGTATAGTAAGAGAAAATCAAAGTATGTGATTCCAGTACTCTATTAAAATAGGCGGTTTGAATTGATCAAGTACTAAATTACTAAACTAATGTATGCATGCAAATATTCCTTTAAATGAAGAAATAAAATCTTATTTTACCAAAAAAACATGAAAAATAAAAGTGGGATTGCATTAGATTAATGCCTTTTGATTTCTTAAAAAAATATGTTACTTGTTTTTTTTTTTATATCCAACCTTTTTGAAAATGGTGATTCTAAGGAAGAGTACAGTCATTTGTAGGATTCACTCTGTATCAGCAGATTCAGTCGATGTTAATATACTATGTTGAGATGATTCATCCATTTTATTAGAGGGCAATAATACGTTTTGAATGACATAAATTTTACAATCCCTAAAAAACACAATTTTAAATTATTATTTAAAAAAAAACATTCTGATTATTTATAGTCGCTTAGCTTTAGATTTAGAAGGTTTAGGATGTAACGTAGTTTCCAATTAAGGAACAGCCTCAGGAGGTGAGTAAAATGAGAGCAGTACACCTTACATTAAAAACATTTTTCCACCTGGGGACTTCCAACAAATTTCACTAAATTCACTTACTTCATCCTCATGAATACCAATACCCAAGTTTTTCATTCACATATCCCTAGTTTGAGGATCTTTTGGAAATCTAAATAGGTATAAGCAGTGTTTTCTTGTTCATATAGACAGGTAGGTAACGTAATACAGAATGCAACATAATATATTTTAATTTAAAATAACTATGGTGCTCTCTAAAAATACATTTTATGTCATTAAAATACAGCAATACTAAGTACCTACTTATAACTAAATGGAATGCCACTAGGGCCTTATTAAATGTACAGCATAACAATATAATCTGATAAATTCAAAGTTATTAAACACAGACACAATACAATAATTGGAAATTCGACGTTATTTTAAACTTTGAAATAAATTGTTCAAACCTAGCTTATTTTGAATTATGACACCCCTAAAAAAAGTGTGATGCAACGTTAATGGTCTTTGTTTACTTGCCTATGAAACGTTATCGAACTGAACATGAGATACTTTTTCGAGCCCACAACACACTTCGTTGGCAATTTAAAGCAATTAAATGAACCAAAACTAATTAAACCACAAAATTTTTTCAATTAAAGTACGAAATAAACCCAAAATGAACGATGTCAGCATAAAATAATCATAATATAACAACTGTATTCTTGTCAATTTTTTTCTAACCAATCAAATAGCGTAACCAAAATAGCGAATATCAAATCAAGTCGTGTAACCACTGCTACATAGATCTATTATTTATTTACTTATTTATCTGAGGACAGACCACAGTAAATAGGCCAGGGGTGGAGAATGGGGATTAACCCTAGCATATGTTATCAGCATCCAACACTTTGTTCATTTACAGTTCCAGAAGAAAAAGAAAACCTCCTGAGCCAACAACTCAAACGCCCGACTGGTTTCGTAGACACGTCAACGCCCAAATCCTTCAACAGACCGTCCTCAACAAGAACCTTGTCGCCGTTACCGTCATACAGAGACCGAGGCGTAACCGAGTTCCGGCCCAACAGAATCCGCGCTGCGCCTCCGAAATTCTACGCCTACCCCCACAACAGAGTGGCGGAACAAGGAGAGACCGTAAGGTTTCAATGCGCCGTCGCCGGTCATCCGGACCCGTGGGTCACATGGGAGAAAGACGGAGTAGTAGTCACTCCATCGGCGAGGTTACGGATGACTGAGAGGGAGGATCTTAGAACTTTGGAAATAAGCGATGTTATCCCTAGCGATTCTGGAGTGTATAAAATAATTTTGGAGAATGATGTTGGAAGAATTGAAACGTCAGCTAAATTAGATGTTATCGGACATCGGATTGTGTCTTCTAGGGGTTTGAGGACGAGGAGTTTGTCTCCAAAACCTGCTCCGAATTATTCGAAACATTTCATGGGAGATTTAAGCAATTTAGGAAGTCGAGGAGATTTTCAATACAGCTATCGTTCAAATCTATCATCGTACTGTAAATTCTACAGAGATCTATACGATAGCACTGATACATCTATTTTAAGACCGGAGATTTTTAAAAGCCTTCCTAAGAACTTAAAGATGTCCGAAGGTCGATCTGTTAATCTACAAGTTGAAGTACTTGGTAAACCTCCTTTTGATGTGGTCTGGATGAAGGATGCTTGTATTTTGCCTGATTGTGAAGATTTTCAGCAAACTGTTACTGAAGACGGAATCATTTCCCTGTACTTACCCGACGTGTATCCACAAGATTCTGGGAACTACAGATGCGAGATTTATAATTTGTATGGGGACGCGTTCTCTAACTGTTATTTAACTGTACAAGGTGAGATTATTTGTTATTCATTATTTCCATAAAAAAAAGATACTTAGAATTTATTTCATTTCAGATACGATAAATGTAGAACCCCGAATTGATATCGTCGAACACCCATCTTCAGTGTCAATTAACGAAGGAGGTACTGCCTCATTTTCCGTGAAAACTCAGAATCGCACCAACGAAAAAGCAATGATAGAGTGGAAAGTAGGCGGGAAAATAGTAACACGAAACGAAAAGTTTAAGGTAAGATTTATTTATATTACTCAACATTTTCTTTAAAAACAAAGAACTACCTAAATACTCTACCTCAGCACCGAAACAGTGCAAAATGATGCCAGTCAAATCATGTTGCTATATACAACAGAATTTTGATGTTCAGCCGCCTTCAGAGAGAAAATACGATATCATTTATTGGTAGGATTAGGGTAGTTTTTACCCTTCCATGATTTCAGTTGATGTAATTTTTGCTTTGAACAATGGCTCTTCAGTTAAAATAGCCACATACCAAATTTTATTAAAATCGAAAGAAGCGTTTTTAAATAAATATTATTAAATAATATTAAATATTATTACATATTATTAAATAAATATTATTAAATATTATTTAAATATTATTAAATATTATTAAATATTATTAAATATTATTAAATATTATTAAATATTATTAAATATTATTAAATATTATTAAATATTATTAAATATTATTAAATATTATTATAATTATTATTAAATATTATTAAATATTATTAAATATTATTAAATATTATTAAATATTATTAAATATTATTAAATATTATTAAATATTATTAAATATTATTAAAATATTATTAAATATTATTAAATATTATTAAATATTATTAAATATTATTAAATATTATTAAATATTATTAAATAATTTAATATTATATTATTAAATATTATTAAATATTATTATAATATTATTAAATATTATTAAATATTATTAAATATTATTAAATATTATTAAATATTATTAAATATTATTAAATATTATTAAATATTATTATTATAATATTATTAAATATTATTAAATATTATTAAATATTATTAAATATTATTAAATATTATTAAATATTATTAAATATTATTAAATATTATTAAATATTATTAAATATTATTAAATATTATTAAATATTATTATTAATATTATTAAATATTATTAAATATTATTAAATATTATTAAATATTATTAAATATTTATTATTAATATTTATTATTAAATATTATTAAATATTATTAAATATTATTAAATATTATTAAATATTATTAAATATTATTAATATTATTAAATATTATTAAATAATTATTAAATATTATTAAATATATATTATAAATATTATTAAATATTATTAAATATTATTAAATATTATTAAATATTATTAAATATTATTAAATATTATTAAATATTATTAAATATTATTAAATATTATTAAATATTATTAAATATTATTAAATATTATTAAATATTATTAAATATTATATAAATATTATTAAATATTATTAAATATTATTAAATATTATTAAATATTATTAAATTATTTATAATATTATTAAATATTATTAAATATTATTAAATATATTAAATATTATTAATATTATTAAATATTATTAAATATTATTAAATATTATTAAATATTATTTAAATATTATTAAATATTATTAAATATTATTAAATATTATTAAATATTATTAAATATTATTAAATATTATTAAATATTATTAAAGTATTATTAAATATTATTAAATATTATTAAATATTATTAAATATTATTAAATATTATTAAATATTATTAAATATTATTAAATATTATTAAATATTATTAAATATTATTAAATTAATATTATTAAATATTATTAAATATTATTAAATATTATTAAATATTATTAAATATTATTAAATATTTATTAATATATTATTAAATTATTATTAAATATTATTAAATATTATTAAATATTATTAAATATTATTAAATATTATTAAATATTATTAAATATTTATTAAATATTATTAAATATTATTAAATATTATTAAATATTATTAAATATTATTAAATATATATTAAATATTATTAAATATTATTAAATATTATTAAATATTATTAAATATTATTAAATATTATTAAATATTATTAAATATTATTAAATATTATTAAATATTATTAAATATTATTAAATATTATTAAATATTATTAAATATTATTAAATATTATTAAATATTATTAAATATTATTAAATATTATTAAATATTATTAAATATTATTAAATATTATTAAATATTATTAAATATTATTAAATATTATTAAATATTATTAAATATTATTAAATATTATTAAATATTATTAAATATTATTAAATATTATTAAATATTATTAAATATTATTAAATATTATTAAATATTATTAAATATTATTAATATTATAAATATTATTAAATATTATTAAATATTATTAAATATTATTAAATATTATTAAATATTATTAAATATTATTAAATATTATTAAATATTATTAAATATTATTAAATATTATTAAATATTATTAAATATTATTAAATATTATTAAATATTATTAAATATTATTAAATATTATTAAATATTATTAAATATTATTAAATATTATTAAATATTATTAAATATTATTAAATATTATTAAATATTATTAAATATTATTAAATATTATTAAATATTATTAAATATTATTAAATATTATTAAATATTATTAAATATTATTAAATATTATTAAATATTATTAAATATTATTAAATATTATTAAATATTATTAAATATTATTAAATATTATTAAATATTATTAAATATTATTAAATATTATTAAATATTATTAAATATTATTAAATATTATTAAATATTATTAAATATTATTAAATATTATTATTAAATATTATTAAATATTATTAAATATTATTAAATATTATTAAATATTATTAAATATTATTAAATATTATTAAATATTATTATATATTAAATATTATTAAATATTATTAAATATTATTAAATATTATTAAATATTATTAAATATTATTAAATATTATTAAATATTATTAAATATTATTAAATATTATTAAATATTATTAAATATTATTAAATATTATTAAATATTATTAAATATTATTAAATATTATTAAATATTATTAAATATTATTAAATATTATTAAATATTATTAAATATTATTAAATATTATTAAATATTATTAAATATTATTAAATATTATTAAATATTATTAAATATTATTAAATATTATTAAATATTATTAAATATTATTAAATATTATTAAATATTATTAAATATTATTAAATATTATTAAATATTATTAAATATTATTAAATATTATTAAATATTATTAAATATTATTAAATATTATTAAATATTATTAAATATTATTAAATATTATTAAATATTATTAAATATTATTAAATATTATTAAATATTATTAAATATTATTAAATATTAAATATTATTAAATATTATTATTATTAAATATTATTAAATATTATTAAATATTATTAAATATTATTAAATATTATTAAATATTATTAAATATTATTAAATATTATTAAATATTATTAAATATTATTAAATATTATTAAATAATATTAAATATTATTAAATATATTAAATATTATTAAATATTATTAAATATTATTAAATATTATTAAATATTATTAAATATTATTAAATATTATTAAATATTATTAAATATTATTAAATATTATTAAATATTATTAAATATTATTAAATATTATTAAATTAAATATTATTAAATATTATTAAATATTATTAAATATTATTAAATATTATTAAATATTATTAAATATTATTATTAAATATTATTAATATTATTAAATATTATTAAATATTATTAAATATTATTAAATATTATTAAATATTATTAAATATTATTAAATATTATTAAATATTATAAATATTAAATATTATTAAATATTATTAAATATTATTAAATATTATTAAATATTATTAAATATTATTAAATATTATTAAATATTATTAAATATTATTAAATATTATTAAATATTATTAAATATTATTAAATATTATTAAATATATTAAATATTATTAAATATTATTAAATATTATTAAATATTATTAAATATTATTAAATATTATTAAATATTATTAAATATTATTAAATATTATTAAATATTATTAAATATTATTAAATATTATTAAATATTATTAAATATTATTAAATATTATTAAATATTATTAAATATTATTAAATATTATTAAATATTATTAAATATTATTAAATATTATTAAATATTATTAAATATTATTAAATATTATTAAATATTATTAAATATTATTAAATATTATTAAATATTATTAAATATTATTAAATATTATTAAATATTATTAAATATTATTAAATATTATTAAATATTATTAAATATTATTAAATATTATTAAATATTATTAAATATTATTAAATATTATTAAATATTATTAAATATTATTAAATATTATTAAATATTATTAAATATTATTAAATATTATTAAATATTATTAAATATTATTAAATATTATTAAATATTATTAAATATTATTAAATATTATTAAATATTATTAAATATTATTAAATATTATTAAATATTATTAAATATTATTAAATATTATTAAATATTATTAAATATTATTAAATATTATTAAATATTATTAAATATTATTAAATATTATTAAATATTATTAAATATTATTAAATATTATTAAATATTATTAAATATTATTAAATATTATTAAATATTATTAAATATTATTAAATATTATTAAATATTATTAAATATTATTAAATATTATTAAATATTATTATTAAATATTATTAAATATTATTAAATATTATTAAATATTATTAAATATTATTAAATATTATTAAATATTATTAAATATTATTAAATATTATTAAATATTATTAAATATTATTAAATATTATTAAATATTATTAAATATTATTAAATATTATTAAATATTATTAAATATTATTAAATATTATTAAAATATTATTAAATATTATTAAATATTATTAAATATTATTAAATATTATTAAATATTATTAAATATTATTAAATATTATTAAATATTATTAAATATTATTAAATATTATTAAATATTATTAAATATTATTAAATATTATTATTAATATTATTAAATATTATTAAATATTATTAAATATTATTAAATATTATTAAATAT